ACACTTTGCGATCAATCTTTTCTAACCCCTTCCTTCCTTGTGAGAAGGCAGCATCGTTGAAGATGCTGGTTGTGTGAGGGAAACACCTTACTGCTGTCACACCTTTCTAGTCAGAAGTACGAATTCAGCATCAAACCTTGAGTTGCTGCCTTTAGTCTCATCGTTCTCCAGTCGACCTGCCTTGCATGGTAGAACCTACAGCAACATAAGTTCCGGGTTGATCTCTTGATTGTAATACCGAGGGTCCTGGGTACCAGGACGTGTTTGCACCCTGTCGAGCAGTCCCATATTAGGATGAAATGGCCATCCAGCGCTTTCAAGCTCTCGATTTTAGTCTGACGCTGGTCGCTTCATGATTTTAATGAAACTCAACAGCCTTTACAACCCCAATACCGATTATCATGTGCTCAAGAGTGACTAGCTTCGAGAGTTTTCCCTGATTTCCAATGAGAAGCTGTGATTATTGAAGTTCAGTCGTGTCGGCTGTGTGGCAGTTATCCTTTTTACGACATAATGGAGTAAATTTGTATCTCTGGTGTATGATAATGGTAGAGTTTCATTCTGTAAGTTGTATTTTTGGGTTGTGGGTTTTCATTGTTTTTCTAAACTGAGATTGAAGATGGCATGCGCTTTGGACAACCGTGGAAATATATTTGATTGGAAAAGTGTACGATGAACGCTACAGAATTTTTAGAACCTTGGCACTCAGGTGAGTGGCTAATTAGCAAACACTTAGAAATTAATCCCGTTTATAAACTAGTCAGAACAATCATAAACAAACGTAGGATCAAGAAACAGATCAAATGGGGATAAAATCAAAGTAAGGAGACAGGCAACGACAGTTTAAAGGTCAATAATAATCAACCAAGATGGAGCTCTACAGGACAAGCTGCAAGTCAAACTTGCAGAAATTCGAACAGTTCACTTAAACCTGGTGTTTGTCCTGATGGTGTTGTTCAGCAGAACAATGAAACCTCTAAAACTAAAACATCATGCTCAGTGAGCGCAACCCCACCATAGGGAGTTATCCTTCGAGTTATGGTTGCACATTATCATGTATCCTCTTCAGAAATTTTGATAAACCCTTTTGTTTCATTTAGCTATATCTACAAGTTTTATATATCTTCTTAAAAAATCAGTTACTGATTTTTAATTCATTTATATGCCCCATGAGATCATAAATTTGAAATATTTGCGAAAATTGGAAAAATATTATACTTGCAAATGTTGTGTATTTCTCAGTGTCTTTAGTTGAAAACCCAAGATCTAGTTACAATTTTGAGGACGTATATTTGTAATTAGTGTACTGAATAAATCATTTTCACTTCGTTAGTCAAGTGAATGTTTTCTCAACTTAATAAGTTGATAGAACATTCTCTAATTATTTCCTGTGTAAAAACCTAAATGCGTATGTCTCTTTGATCATATGTATGCATGTTTATTAACAGGTATAATAAATCACTGTCTTATGATGTATTTTTTTCATGAAAACCATCCTTTAATTGACCGTCAATACAGTCTTGAACGTCTGTAAAACAACTTATGCAAATTTTTGTAATAATTTTTCTAGAACCATTATTTATGCCATAGGTTCGCCCCAATACTATCGTCCTTTAATCAACTTAGATTTTTATTAGACTTACTATGAGTCCAAGTATATTTTGTAACTGTTATGGAATTCAATTTAGTTAACTTGTTATTACAATAATGATCACTTCTCCTCATATTGGTATGAAGATAGACTATTCGAACACATTTTTGAGTTGGATGGTGTTCAATATCCAATATCTATTTCACGAGCTAGTATAAACCAACTGATTTCTTTGCGCTCGATTCTTGTTCCTTCGTTACTTTTTTCACTATTTGTTGGTCTTTTGTGTATGATGAAACCCTCGCAGTATAGTTTTTAATATGAGGACGTCACATATAAGCGAATAATATTATTTTCAATTAGATCTTCATCGGTCTATACCCAAATATATAGCAATACCTATGAGTATATATGAAAGATACGAAACTAATCACGGCGGTTTCGGAGTCACTAAAAACAACATTGATTACATAACTGGGATATCAGTGAAATAACACTGAAAGTATTCCAACCTAAGAAGGCTTATGGTTGGATGTAGAATGGTTGCTAAGAAGCCTAGGTGGATGGTAGATAAGTTGGATTCAATGGTCAATCATACCCTTTCAAATCTAGTGAATGGAGATAAATTAGATAAAATAAGCTGATACAACAAAACAATAGAAATCTAACATTTGTACGGCCAATCATAAATAGCAAAAATTACAGCCTTGTACTAAAATTGTAGGTGTAGTAATGTGATAAGAACAATGACAGATTGAATAATTGCTTCAACATAAAGCGTATATCAAAATAACGGTCATTAGAAATTATGAAAATCACATGATGGGAAATGCGCATATAATCTGTCCAAATATACCCATGGTAAACGACATACTAAATGGAAGAAGGGAAAATAGTGCATAAATTTAGTAAATGGCCTATAAAACCCTATCAATTTAGGGAAAGTATAGGGTTACAAATCTCTGACAACATATGCTAACGTAAGGCTGTAATCCCCACACTTTCTACCTCATGTAAAATACGAGATCGAACCCCGTTGGTCTACACTGTGTTTCAGTTGGAGTTAATTTATTTATCTATCAGAAAGTCTAAAGAGTCTTGAATCAGGTTAACATTGCTCAGGTACATCTACTCGTGAGGACATATGTCATAATGGATTACACTTCCCTAATATCACAGTTCTCAGACGGGTGGATGGCTCGTTTAACTAAATAATGTTCAGGGAGTGCTACTCTGAGTGTCCGCACACACACTAGTTTTAGGTCTATTCATTACGAGAGAAGTTTGGCTAGATGTCTTACGAACAGAGCCAAAATGATCTGTTAAGAGTATCCCGTAATGAAAGATTTAAGTCTACAAATGATATTTCCGCAAAAGTAGGCCACCCTTGGAGTTGTTTGAGAAAATATGCATAGAGAGAATTTCTAGTTGGAGATATGGACATATCTGTTGAAACCTGTATTTCTAAAGATGTAATTTACTGTAGTTGCAGCTATTTGACAGTAATCTTTTTTCTTAATTTACACGTTAACCTTATTGCCATAAATTCTTACAATCATTTATAAACTTTTTTATTTTCATTTCACGTGAGTTTATGATTCATTGTTTACAATTTCACCTCCGTGTTCTTGATATTGTGATGCTTCTATGATTCCGCCGGTATTCATTTCCCTTAACCCCTAGGACTTTGTTGAGGCTATACATATCTTGAAATGCCAGACTGCCTGGTTAGATTTCCTGGTTACCCTTTCTCTTTCTCACAGTGATCGACTGCATTATGAAGACGTCAACATCTGGAGAGAAGCATAGAGTACAGTGGACAGCACAGAGGCAGCTGAATGATTTAGACGTTGCAGATGACCCAGCTCTTCTATCGCACACAACAACAAATGCAAGGTAAGAAGACTAGTGTAACAGCAGGTTCAGCAGTAGTAGGTCTGACCATACACAAAGAGAAAAGTGAGACTCCCCGATACAACACAACATGCGCCAACCGAATCACACTTGATAGAGATGCCTTGGAGGACGTAAAATCCTTTGCATATCTGAGTAGCATCATTGAGGAGCAAGTCTGATTTGATGAAGATGCGAAGGCGCGAATTGAAAAGCAAGAGATGCATTTCTACAATTAAACAACACCAAAGTTACAATTTTCAATACGGATGTCAAAATAGTTCTACTGTATGGGGCGGAAACTTGATGAACTAAGAAAGCCATCCAGAAGATACAAGTATTTATCAACAGTTTTCTATGCAAAATACTTCGGATCCATCAGCCAGACAATATCAGTAACAACCTACTATATGAGAGAACAGACCAGATTCCAGTGGAGGAGGAAGTCTGGAAGAAGCGCTGGAAGTGGATGGGACACAGATTGCAGAAAGCATCCAACTGCATCACAAGAGAAGCCCTCACTTCGAATTCTCAAGCTTAAAGGTGAAGAGGAAGGCCAAGTAACACATTACGCCAAGAAACGGAAACAGATATGGGAAGAATGAACAAAACTTAGACAGAACTGAAAGGGGATGCCCAAGACAGAGTAGGTTGGAGAATACTGATCGGTAGCCTATGCTCCATTGGGGGTAAAAGGCGTAATCAATCTCTCTTCATTAAGAAATTGACATGTTTCCTGAAAACTCAAAGCTCGACCCATGCTCATTTCATAAAATATATTTTAATCATAATGTCTGTAAATTCAACAGAATTATTCTATGATGACGATTCTGAGTACGAATCAAACTAAGTGCTTTCTCACTAGGATTAATAACTTGGTATCAAGAAGCTTTGAGTTCAGTACTGAATGTTCGACATTTATTGATACTAAACTTCAGTTTATCCATGATTATCAGAGAGGTGCATATGTAATCGATTGAAAACGTTTATTGTCTAAGGTTTGACATCACAAATAATTACTATAATCGACTGGGCAACCCCTGAAAATATGGTCTTCGATTAATCCAATGAAACGTTTAACAAAACAACTCCCTTATAAATCACTTTCAGCTTTTCTTATTCCAAATACTATCCAGTTGACTGTACGAGAGTGGAAAATGTCCTATGAATTCCGAACTTTCATCACCGGATATTAATATCCTGGTAATAAACGAAAATTTTAATATCTAACTTCAATCCACTTATGTTACAAGAATCTTTACAGAATTGTATTTTTAAATAGGACAAAGTGATTTTTTCAATAAGCACCTATATAAACATTGGTCGCTTCAAGTTGATAATACATACGTATACAAAGTTTTCTTAAGCTACTCAGGTCAGTTGATTAATCAGCCAATCATTAATCAGCATAGTATAATGACAATAGGTCAAAATTGAAGTTGCTTAAGTTGCGTAAGATAAAGTTTACCTTAATCTTTAAATCAAATTCATATAAGCTTGTTTATTTCGCAGTATCATGGTTTTTCAAGAGGATGAAGATTATGTGAATTTTCAGCCTGGTGGAACACATAAAAAGAAAATAACCAAACCAGAATATACAGCGGAAAACCAACAAGAAAATAAAAAATTTGGAAAGTGGAATACCGTAAGTTTAATAATAACCTATATTCATGTATTCATAATTATTTTTTACGAATTAATGTATAGTAATCCAATTCTTACGATATGAGCTTAAATTATTTAAAGAATATGAATTAATTCCATAACTCACATAAAAGCATGAGCAAATTATAATAACTTCATTGATTTTTAACAAAATTCTCATTCAACACTTCACTACAGAACAATACTTAATTTAACGTAGTAGTATATAGGATTTAATTTGTCCTGCAGATGTAATTCTACAACGGTAAACGCAATACTGGCGAGCACAGAGTCTATGGGAAAGCTATGGTCAGAACAAGATCAACTTTTGCTTTAAACTTGATCTGTTTCGACCAATATAGCGTGGCTTTGGGAATGAATAATGTCATGAGTCACACCAATATAATAAGATAATAATGCCTTTCAATAAGTAGGACATTCACAACAAAGAAAGTTTACAGACACGTCAGATCAGATCACGTGATGAGCGCTTAAACCACAATTTGATTGGTTAGCTATGACAACTACAATTAGTTAAGAAAATAACTAACATGGTATTTTGTGTAAGCTGTTGTAATCTAGTGGAGATTTGTAGAACTCCTCTATGTGAAAAAAACAGTAATTAGGTTTAATGAAGTTATATTGTGATTAGCAATGGAGTACTTGGTATAAGTTTTCTTCTGCGTGGGACTTGCGGCTGAATGTACATGCTTGCAGCCAAGTATGGATGTTCACACTGAAACTTAAACCCACCATTTATCTTCCGAATTCCAACACGTCACCCAATGAACTACTGAGTTCAGATATAAACCGACAAAGATAGAATTTTATTTTAAAATTTGTGGTGTTTGATTTGTCCGACATAAACAACACATATTTCACAAATAAATCTTATATCTTTAAGAATAAAGATTAAATATCTGAGTGAGACATCTTCGCCCCACAAAGCTTCATAAATCAGATATTTCGAAACTAAATAAACCATCTATCTTAGAATTAGTTCCTTAATAGCTCCATACTCGACGAAACAAGCAGAATAACTGAACATTAAATTTGATTACAACTAAAACAATGCTTGAAAAATAGGTATGATTAGAAATTAGTTACTCAACGAGAAATTAGTTTATCCTTAATTTATGAAAATGGCTCGATCAAGGATTTTGCCGTTGTCATTGAATTAAGTAGTAAGATGCAATGGTGTTTTATATGTGAAATTGCGTATTAGGAAGCAGTTTGTACGAAATAATGTGGTTTGGTCATTCACCTTCCGATGATCTTACACTAAATGTTATGTGTAAGAAATCATGAAAACTCGGTCACTTAGGGATCCTAACTAACACTGTTTATCACCAAATTTAGAAAAAAACTATCCAAAGAAATTTTGTTTTGAAACTGCTTCTACTGGTACAATATAAAAACCTATTTAGTATTTCTCTGGATTACTTATCACCCGTATAGTTGGACTACTGTGTTTTAGCCTGCATATTGAGATTATATGTAACAAAAAATCGAGTTTCCTGAAGATTATAGAAAACCTATTCCGCATATATATATATATATATATATATATATATATATATATATATATATTTAAACAAATGACTGAGGTTAACTTTCTGTTCCCTTTTCACTTAACAGGTTCGTAAATTTGTGAACAAAGCAAGTCAGCATATTAATAGTTCACAGATGTTGAGTACATTTAGTTTTAAATGGAATTATAATCATTTATACCGTTTTTTACTCTAAGGGTTATCTAGCATTTTCTCTATATTAGCTCAACATCATAAAAATGTCATCACAGCCGGTGATATACTACTGACAATGAGAGCATTAGGCGATGCATTAACAGAAGCTGAACTACAAGATTTGATCTTTGAATTAGATATTGACCGTAAGTTTTTTTCGTTAAATTTGAAAAGGGATATTATAATAATTATATACATTTTATAGGAGATGGCAAATTAGATTTTGCAGAATTATGCGCTTTTGTTGTCGAACGAATATATAGAAAGAAATTAGATCATGATTTTAAAGAGTTATTTCGAATACTTGATCAAGATGGCAAGTTTTCACCTTGATTTGTTTCTTTATTTCAACTGTAAAAAATATTTGTTGAATCAACAGCATAAATTAGTTTATTCAAACAAATTTTTACATCTCTTGTATCTATGGTGACAAATGTATTGACTAACCTGAGAATTAATATGTTTTCTTATATCAAATAAAACTGCCAATTACACTAAATTAGCCTTGAAACTTGGCTAACAATTATCCTATTGAAAGATTACTAAGAGCCAAAATAAAATTAAACGTGCAAGTAGAGCATTAATTTTAATTAATCCTTTTTAGTTCAAAATGAGTAATTCACATGTTGACAATCACGTCAAGTTTCTTACAAACTGGGCATTGATTCAAACCAATGACTATTATAACTTATCACTTCTGTAACATAAGTTGGATCCTAAACTTCAACCTATCTGATATGCTCGTCAGTTGATATGCTTGAAACTATTATGAGTTCATCTTACTCAGTAAACGGAGCGAAGACAAATGATGCAATGACACGATAGGCGATTATAATCCGTTTTCCCCAGCCCAGCTAACTATATCAAGAAGTCTTGATAAGACGTAGAAAATGTATTCTACAAGCACCCAGAAAATACGAGGTCGACAAGAACACAAATCGACCTTATTTGGAAGAGCCACCGAGAATAATCCATCAGCCAATGACAGTCAAGGATATCTCGAGTGGGAAATGTAATCTCAAGGTCAATCAAGCAACTTAACTTAAATAATCCAAAATTAGGACCTTTTCGAGTGAGTTCTGGGGATCTTATGTCCCCAACACTCACGAACATAATTAAATAGAGTTTCAACCAAATAGTTATTCTGTGAATTAATTGATATTGGTTTATTATTTAACACAGTGAATCTATATATTTTGGATAAACATACATATAAAATACAACAGCTGAACAAGTGGATAGATAAGATGATCATTCATTCCAGACATTTTCTTTCTTTGAAATAATTATAAGTGAGCAATCGGTCAATTTAATTCTAGTGGGCTGTATTATTTTTATACTTAGTCAGATAATCATTTTCTTAACATGATTAGTTATGGATTCTATCATCTTTTTGTAGTCTAATCAAATACCTCCTTTATCAGTTATCTTGTCTTATGTCAAATAAATGTGAGTCATCACACATTGTGTTATTTTATTTCTTTTTTTGAAGCCAGTCTAAATTACAAATCACAATTACTCCAACCTACTTATCTGTTTCCGCACATAAATATAGGTCGGTAATTATATTTGGATGTGACACATTCTTATACTTGGAGTTTAGATTTTTGTCAAAACCTGGAAACTTTTCCTGTGGCAATGACCTTGACTGTTTAGAATGTTCTACTAAAAACCGGTTTAAGGCTTTGTTTCTACACTTGGCTATTTGACTCATCTGTAAGTGACAGAGTGATGAAAATAGATTTTTCAGATGACAGAATAATAAACGAACTAAATATAATGTGACCCTCCCATCGATTTATGAATTTGAGTCAATATTCATTTTCCATCAATGTGTCGATTAGTAGCTTCATCTAGTCTTTAATAGTGTCACCTGTGAGAATATCACCAATCATATTGAATAGTCTCTTTTTAAAATCTCGTTTTATTGATCGATTCAGTAGCTGTGATAGCTAAGATATTAACCGGTTCATGTAAGATTTATATGTAAATCTCTCTATTGAACCACCTTTTGTAAAATTAGTATATATAAGAAATAAAGCTGATTGTTTAGGATAAACGGGAAGTGGCTAGTAGTGGAATCTAGGATGGCCGTTTCATTCATATGAAAGATTAACATGATTTTGAAATACTAAGTTTGTTTTAATAAACAACTTATATTTTCATTTTTGCTTCATATGACTATTATGTCATTCACATACCGCTTCTAAAGCCGTATACTTTTAATTGTCTCCAGTTAAATTCTCGAAATATAACGTAGACACGTCGGATAGTGGTAGTTATATAGGACTTAGCTACAGCAACACTATCGATCAATCAAAATTATTTGCACTAAAATGTGAATCGGATTTTTTCAATGCATAATAGTGATAATAATGTAATGCAAGGAGAGCAAATTAGTTTACTTCAACAATTACTAGATTTCCAAAAAAGCAAAAGGCCCTATTTGTGCATTATCTTTATATCAGTGAATATATGAGCAAAAGATAAATTCATGCTTAAAATATTTACTCCATACGTTTATTATATGACTCATATCCACGAAAAATCTATGAAAAGATAGTTCATTAAATTAAAATGATTAAAGCATTTAATAAAAAATTTGTTTATAGACAATTACAAAGATCATCAAGTCTCTTAATCAACTGATTAGTATTTGTATCTAATCTAACTTGTAGTGCCTCCACATTTATTTGCATCCGCTTGCATTTAATTTGCTTAAGCCCTTTTGATTAATTTCTTTAACCAAGCCATTCGCTTAGCAACAACTTGTATGTATCATTGGTATTTTTCATTATCTGGTTTGTATGAGCTGGTATGACTGAGCATTGCTTAACGCCTACGCACATATGCATCCTATTTGCTTTAATATTAGTCTCTTAAATACCACGATGACTCAGACATTTCCCTTTGTATATATACGAACATTTTAATCTTATTAATTCATTCGCATATTTGCTCGCTAGTGTGACTACCCGGTCTGTCTGTGGTCTGCTATCCTTATTGTTGTTGGGGATGTTAGATCCCCAAAATTCGCTTGATAATGCCGTATTTTGGTTTTCACGTTTCGCCAGCAGGGGCTGATCAAATGACCTTGAGATTTCAATTCCCACCAGGAAAATCAATGGCTGTGATTGGCTACAGTGTATTTTAGTATGCTATTTTCTTAACTGTCTCAAGGACGTTGTTATGTTGTATAAATAAACGAGAGTTGTATGCTTGATTGTACTGGGATTGCTGGGTGCTTGTAGAATATACTTCTACGCCTACAAAGTCTTCTATTTCGATTCTGGGATTCAGGGTAGCCTTCCTGGAAGCTGGTAAAAGTCTCGTTCGCGTTTATCGACTAAGGTAAACTCGTAATAGCCTCCAGCATCCTAAGTGCCGAACATATCAGTGGCGACGGGGTAAAAACCATATCCACAAAACATATCAGTGGCGACGGGGCTCACAATTCACAATGTCAATTAATCTTGAACAGTTAGAATCTTTACTGGAACGTCAAGGTAAACGATATGAACAGTTCCAGGAACGTATGTTGGAGCTGTTAATGAAACAAATGAATTTGAATCACAGAGGTTTTGCCGATGATTCATATAATCCGCATACAGACTCGATAGTTAATTCCATTCATGAATTTCATTTTGATGGCCTTGCTGGTGTGACTTTCGAGTCTTGGTTTAAGAAGTATGAGGATTTGTTCAAGGTCGACCTCAACAATCTTGATGACACCACCAAAGTCAGAATCCTTTTGAGAAAGCTCGGCACAATCGAACACGAACGTTATAGTAATTTCATCCTCCCAAAGAACCCACGAGATTTCTCTTTTGATGCTACAATTGATACGCTGTCGCAAATCTTCTCTGAACAGTCATCTCTCTTTAATATCCGTTATCAATGCCTCAAAATAATCAAGTCAAATGAAGATGACTGGGTAAAGCATGCTGGCTTAGTAAATCGTGAATGCGAACGATTTAAATTATCATCAATGACGGAAGATCAGTTTAAGTGCCTTGTGTTTGTGTGCAGCTTACAATCTCCCGACGATGCTGATATAAGAACCAGAATCCTAAGTAAAATTGAACAGTGCCCAAGCATCTCGCTTCAAGAAATAACTGCAGAGTGCCAGAGATTAGTAAACTTGAACCATGATACCTCCATGGTCGAAAACAATGGCCTCTCATCATACGTGCATTCCATTAGTGAAAAGAAAAATTCCAAGTCGGCCCAAAAACCCAAAATGAATCCACCTTCTGCTTTCTGGCACTGCGGTTCATGGCACTATGTACGGAACTGCCCATTTAGGCAGCATAGATGCAGTAAGTGTAAAGTCATCGGTCATAAAGATGGCTTTTGCCTACAGAAAAAGCCAAAGCGATCCAGAAGTGCTAAGAAGCCTGTTCCTAGATCCAGTACCAATGCATTGAGCCTAATATCTTCCTGCCAAAGCTCATCACCAGGTGAGAGGAAATTTATTACTCTTAATATTAACGGTTATTTGTGTAGAATGCAAATAGATACTGCATCTGATGTCACTATCCTCTCACGCAAAAATTGGACCAAATTGGGCAGCCCAAGCCTGCAGCACACAACACAAAAGCCTCGTACAGCATGTGGTAATTATCTTCGTCTGTTAGGACAACTGGAATGTAAAGTTGCTTTCCGAGATTCGTCGTTTACTGGGGTATGCTATATAACGCCAGCTGATCTAAATTTACTTGGTTTAGATTGGTTCGACCAGCTAAAATTGGCTGATGTCCCGCTAAATACCATATGCAGCCTGGTATCACAACGACATGACCCAGAAGCGTATACGAAGAACCACGCAGAACGTTATCTGACAACCGCAGTTCGCGCATTACCGGTGTCTGCAACAGACATACAAAATGCTTCTAGAAACGACCCCATCATCAAGATGACGATGAAATATGTCACTAACGGTTGGCCGTCGAAAAAGTTTGAAGGTGACATGAAGCAACTGTATCAGCGGCGGGAGTCACTATGCATCGTCAACGATTGTCTGATGTTTGGTGAAAGAGTAGTGGGGCCAGAATCCCTTCGTGCAAAAGTGCTGAGACAGTTCCATCTTGGTCATCCTGGGATTAAACGAATGAAGTCCATAGCCAGGAGTTATGCATACTGGCCTCACATGGATCAACATGTCACAGCGTTGGTTGCAAAATGCATGAGGTGTCAGCAGGCGGCAAAGATGAATGCCAAAATTCCGCCGGTTTCATGGCCCAAACCTGAGCATCCTTGGTCCAGGATACATGTCGACTTCGCTGGCCCAATAAATGGAACTATGTATTTAATTGTCGTCGACGCCTTTTCTAAATGGCCGGAAATCAGCCCCGTTATGCCGCCCACTACAACTAAGACTATACAGCTCCTAACTGAAATTTTCTCACGAAATGGCATACCAGATGTGATCGTATCCGACAATGGCTCTCAATTCACCTCTTCCCAATTCCAGAATTTCTGTCAACGGCTAGCTATTAAACACTTACGCTCGCCACCATACCACCCGCAATCGAATGGGCAGGCGGAAAGGTTTGTGGATACTTTTAAAAGAGCACTGCTTAAGTCAAAAGGGGAGGGGACACCAGCCGAAGCGTTACAAAATTTCTTGTACGTCTATCGGACAACACCAAATGAATTGTTACCGGAGCAAAAGTCCCCAGCTGAAATCCTGATGGGAAGAAGATTGAAAACGATCCACAGCCTGATGCATCCGACCAATGCACCCTCATCAGTAGAGACAAAGCAGCAAAGACAATCCGCTTACGAGGTGGGATGCCCTGTGTTTGCCCGCGACTACAGAACGAACCATGGTCCTTGGGTAGAAGCGAGAGTGGTCAGAAGGGTTGGTCGAGTTATGTACGAAGTAGAGGTAGGAGGTGATAAATGGTCACGTCATCGCAATCAGATACGCAGACGGCTAGCCCCAGATCGCCCATCAAGAGCAGAAAGCCTTCCCCTTGACATCTTGCTTGATACCTTCAACCTACCGAGAGCCCCGCCACGAGAAGAAACTCAGCAGCAAGCTGTTCTTCGTTCCCGAAGGTATCCCCTCAGACAGCGGCGAACAATAGTCAAGATGCAAGTCGACCCCAGGAGAACAAGCTATTAAAAAGGGGAGGAGTGTTGGGGATGTTAGATCCCCAAAATTCGCTTGATAATGCCGTATTTCGGTTTTTCACGTTCGCCAGCAGGGGCTGGTCAAATGACCTTGAGATTTCAATTCCCACCAGGAAAATCAATGGCTGTGATTGGCTACAGTGTATTTTAGTATGCTATTTTCTTAACTGTCTCAAGGACGTTGTTATGTTGTATAAATAAACGAGAGTTGTATGCTTGATTGTACTGGGATTGCTGGGTGCTTGTAGAATATACTTCTACGCCTACAAAGTCTTCTATTTCGATTCTGGGATTCAGGGTAGCCTTCCTGGAAGCTGGTAAAAGTCTCGTTCGCGTTTATCGACTAAGGTAAACTCGTAATAGCCTCCAGCATCCTAAGTGCCGAACATATCAATTGTGGTGTGCTACAATAAACGTATACGATACTTCGAATTCATCTTCTGATTTATTAACCGTCAGACGTCATTTGGATAAAGTAGTCTGAACGAGCTTATTACGAAACGTAAGAACACGCAGTAAATCGGCACACAACAAACTAAATAAAAAAACTACTCTCTGAAAAATGTATATCTGGTTAATATATATGTTGCTCAAATTGATTTATCAAACGCCAAACCATTAGCAGTTTTGACGTAATTGAATTTCAGATTACCTTATAACTTTGTACCCATATTTAGACCATGAAAATAGTTCACTAATCAGATTTATAGACTATCTATACTTCAAATCCAGTGAAAACAAACTAGTTATACATCGTAAAAACCAATCATTAACATTGAAAAACGAATATGAATCACAACTATATTCATTCACAGTTAACCACTACAAAGATGATAATTATTTGGGTTAAAAGAGTTTATTTCGAGATTAATTTCTTCTGTACTTCAGATTAAATTATCAACTACTAAGAATATGATTACCAGACTATTAAATTTCCTTTATACTATCCCAATATACATAACATTCATAAAATATGAAGTGATTTTGTAGAACTAAAGTTATTCACTAAATTATGAGTTCACTAATCAACTGTATTACTTCGGCTGTTCTAAATTCTCTTAGATGAATGGTTCACTAGTGAAGATTTCACGGTCCGCTTGAGTAACTGATTCTCAAAGTTAATTATTAAAATCTTTTATTTCTCTCTAAAAATAACTTAAAACGATTTCATGACAATCTAAAATGGTATGAATTTTGAGGATAGTTATTGTGACTGATGATTATTTTACCCTCTATTTTGAAGATTTTTCATTATGCAGCAGCTGACTACATCTTTCTTCCACTTTATCGATCAGCTGATGTCAGCATGTTTATTGAAAATTAAGAAAACTAACCAATCATAAGAAAGATCACAGATATAAGGTCACGTGACTTTTAAAAAGTAAAAATGACAAATATTTTAAATAAAATTCCCTTGGAGAGAGAGAGATAACAGTAGATTTGGATGCATTGGAAACAAAGCTAACTGCTAAGTAGATAGAGTATTCATAGGCTGAAAGCATATACCTATCTATAAACGAAAACTGATACAGAATTCAAATATAAAATGTCATGTATATCAGATTGCATATGTCATAACGTCAACCGAAACGATCTTTATCCATACACATGTATCACCCCTTGGATGATTACGATGTTGTTGTTTCCACATAGACTTGAAACCTTAATGGTAATTAAGTTAGGAGCCTCTTTTTTGGATAAGTAGTTAGTGTCAGTCAGATGTAGTTATCTAAGCATTTCATTTTTACGCAAATGGATATACATCCGAATGAATGACAAGTCCAAAATTATGAAATACATGCTCTAAATTTCAGTTCTCACCATTATATTTACACTATTGATTGATTCTTCAAAAAATGTACACTGACATTTGTATTAAACCGTAGCCGATTTCAGCAGATACACATTCAGAAAAAATGAATATGGATATCTGATCATATTTTCATATATTATGAGAAATAAGATAAATTTCATTTTTGATGACCTAAATTTATTCTATCTTGTAGAGGGGTGAACGACATTTGTCAAGATTCATGAAGATAGATCATGTTCGATTCTTTATGGAAACATCATTTATTCATCCTCAAAATATATACATGCATAATTATTAATCTTGATTTCATAGGAAATAATTACATTTTCTCTGAAAAAAAAATACTAATCTTATTTTACTAAATAGTTAATCATGACTTTCATCGGCAGATGAATGCATCTTATGATTTCAAAATATTGATAAGGTGGTAAAGATGTGTAGTTCAAATGGATGATTTCGTGGAGTTCCGTTGTATTTTTAGCAAAATCATTATCACAAACTTGGTTTATTTAAGCAATAAGAACTCTGTAGTAAAGGAGAACACAGGTGAGGGCAACCGAATTGTACTTATCGCAAATTACAGAGTTAATCGGTAAAATAGGAAAACTATATCGTAAACGGTTAATTTGCAAATCTTCAATCCATTGTCTGACATTTCACTATTCATGCGTTTCATACAAATCCTATTGTGTTTCCGCTCTTTCTTTTTTAATCTTCCCCCATCTTCTGCTGCCAAACATTACGTTTTTACTCGCGTCATATACTACTTATAAGTAGCGCGCACCACAACTATTGTGGATTATGAATATCACTGATATAATTTACGCAAAGCTATTGATATATTACTTCACTCATTATTTTAGTAAAAACATACTTTTATTAATAGAAAATACGAAGAACTTTGTCCATTACTAATGAAAAACTCAATATATTTCTTTTTCAGGTTCTGTAACTTAAGAATTAGTTAACTAAACATCCTTACAAAACCAAAGTATTGATTATCTCTTCTCATTGTAAGATAAAACTGAAATTTACATATCGGCTACAATGGTAATATGTATAAAACTGAAGAGCTGATAACAGACAAACCAATCATTTCAAAACCTAATAAACAAAACATCCGAATGTTCTACTTTGGATCTAAATACAAATAATCTACCTGAATTACTGAGAACTTGAATACAACAAAAATATCCTGACCAGTATTCATCTGATCTTAACTCAGAGTTGTCTGAAACGTATGATACTGTGTTGTCCTACATTTTATCATGATAACTGTGTTACTAGTTTGAAGCCGGACACAAAATAAGTATTATTTCAACTTCAAATCAATGCTACCGTGAATAGTTTAAACATAAAACATTTGTAATTGATTCATTTAATTTAAAAACTATCATCAAAAAAAGGTGCAGAATATTGTATAATAATCAGAACTAGAGTAAAATATTATTTTCTAAATACTCATTAATTGGTATGGTTGTTTGTTTAATACTTAAAATATTTGAAATGCCCAACATGGTGAGTAACAATGGAATCCACGGCAAGCGTTTCATTTTGAAATTTTTAAACAAATAAATTCCCCATTGAATGGGAATTAAGCTTTCCACTGAAGCAAGAAGTAATAGGTGTTAATTATCAGACTGAAAAATAATATACTTGGAGTAGTTTCACTCCATTTTGGCAGACGCACACAAATAGCAGATTGGATGGATGACTACCGATGATGGGATAATGAATGGTAGCATTTTTAGACCTAACATAATGGCTTTACCTCAAATACTTGTACAGAAACATTTCCTTGTTCATTAAAGTGTGCACTTGTATATTGTTAACTAGTTATTGTTTCATCATTTTAGGCGATGGAAAACTGTTAAAAGATGATGTACGCAATATTTTACGCTATTTCGGACTAGACTTCAAAGATGAAATAATTGATGGTATTGTGAAAACAATCGCTGGGTCTGAAAATAACTTTATTACCTATTCAGGTGATTGATTGATTTGACAGTTTTTGAAATGAGGGTGTACTGAAAAAAACATTTACCAACATTTTTCATATATTGTATATCAGTGATAATAGAAATTCAGCTTTTTCTATGTTCCATACAATTTTAATGTTTTACATAGGTGAGAAATCCAACTTTAGGACATTCAGTTATGTAATATGTACGGAACTAATTAGTATGACGATAAACTTCATTACAGAGTTAAAACAGCTAAAGAATAAAGTTAAGAAGTACTGAAAAGCTCTCACATTCAAGTTTAGATTTTATCAGTAGTCAATATATAAGCATAGCCTAGTTTTTCTATGACGATAGCGTCAGTTAACCAGAGGCAAGATCCAATTAGTAATTGAAGCCAATCCACAGTTTAGCACAGTTATCTGTTTACGTTTTCAAATAGGTTGATCTTAAAACTGTATATTTCGGTGTGAATTTGTTATACCTTAAGGAAAAAAACTGGCACTTACAAGTTTTCAGTGGTTATTCAGTAAATATCATCCTAAAATAAATATCCTCAAAGTGTTGTAGCTGTATCAAGTGTCACGAATTTATTGATTTTGTTTCTCAATACATTAAGATTGTGCTAATGGCGAACCAACATATATTGAACGCGTTTTTAATACTTTCTAGGAATCCTTTAATTAAAGTTATTCTTCTACATAACCATTTTAGAATACGTAACTAATTCCCCAAATTTTATCTCTTTATAGATTTGTTAAAGTTTATCATAGATCCAGAGAAAGATTTTACTATCACTGAAATCTTGAGCAATCCTTTATAATAAAATATGAAACGATGATTTAATTCCAACTTCGTGAAGAATTCTCATTTATTCGACTCGGTAGATTTATACTGAAAGAGTTCCTTTTATTAAATCATGAATTATTTTCGCTTTTTATTCATTACTGAATAATAGTAATATTATTTAAATGCTTTTCTTAGTTATATTATTTGTTTTAAGAGGATGAGACTAATATCGAAGCTATATTGTTTGTGCAGTGGATATAATATATGTTATTTGTCTCGTGAAAAATGATGGCTACAACATTAACTCGAGTAAGTACGATTAATTTGATTAATAATGGATGGCATAAAGAATAAATCTAAGAAATTCAGGTCATTCATGAATGATGATTGATGAAGTAGCTAAAGAGGGATCATTCACTAATAGTTGTGTACAATATTAGTTTGTTTCTTTTTTGTATACTAACAAAATGTATTTCAGTGCACATATAGATTGCAAATAGCTTCTACTGCATACTTATTTGCATGCATTTTAATCAAATTTTCTGTCTCTGACTTGAACAAACTATGTTCAATGTCAGAATAGCAGGTCAAAATGATAAACAAACACCATAGCTACACTGATGGTTTACTAACTGGTGATACTATCCACTCATTAAAGTGAAGCATGGTTAGAATTTGGTAATCAAAACAAGTGTTTTAATGCGTATTATGTAGCAACAGCTGAATTGATATAGGATAATTGTCTGACTCCTTAATAATCGGACGAGACTGACGTTAATGTCATGTATGTATCCTAATTAGCTTCGTAATAATTCATTAGACTTGAAATGTTTAGGACAAAAGTTTATTAAGAGTCAAATACGAGAGTGGTTTTAGATATATATATATTTCAAACACTTTTTAATGATGACAGACAACGAGATATACGGTTCAGATAAGGCGAACAGACCTACTCATTAGAATGTAGCTAAACATTTATAGGCAAGAACGATGCAACAATTAGATAAATAAATAAATACTCAAGGCCATAAATACGATAGAATGACAAGATCAGAATCATTCGTTTATCAAGATTTTGGAGTGAACCATATAGATGTGCAATAAAATGGAAACAGCAACTTGTTCAAATGCTAGATTTTTATCATACTAGAGAAACATTAAAAATCAGGAGGCACAGAATATCTAACTCATTCTATTCTAAAGCTCAACAGTGTACTTTTACAACTTCAAATGAGATCAAACCTTCAGATCCAGAAACAAGTGCGCTATCTTTAAAAAGCTGACTCTACCAACTTGTTCAGGTTCAAAGATTCAGTCACTGTGATGGTAGCCATTCAAAAGGTTGAGTAAAATGGCAGGTGAGAAAGGTCACGCATTAATAAGGACGACTGTCAAAAAGGGTGTATATTCATAAAGAGAGAACAATAATTTTGGTGTTGTGAAATATGTTCGATTTACTCTTTTTTCCTTAGGCTTAAGACTAAACAAAAACGTAGTTTTCTAAACCTAAAATGGGGAGGCTACGTTCAACAAAGTACTGTTGACAACTCAGCCTAAAATGGTGATTTCGTAATGCGATAAAATAATCAGTGCAATATAATAACTGAATGAATACAATAAATCAAAAGGGGTTAGAACTAATTTAATATAGATGTTTTAATGTTACACTAAAATTTTCGTAACGCAGTATAACATGTTTATATTTGTAGACTTACAGAGATAGTTTACTGTCAGTTTATTCCCATAATCTCATAGTTGAATAATTACTTCTACCTCTTTATAACCTTTTTAAGTGATGTTGCTTAATTCCTGCAACAAAATGTTTGATTTTCAACTCATTGAGACTTAATTACTCTTTAAGAACATCAATAATATTCCAAATCCTTGTATGAGCGGCACAGAGTTAGTTGGCTAAGGCTTCTATCCCACTGTTTATTTGGGGGAGGTTTTCCACAACGGAATTGCAAACGCTTCATAGTGCGATTTGTAAAATCGGTTCGCTATGGCCCCCATGTCTTCTTTGTCCCATGATCCAGGTGTCCTTCGAATATTTTGTTAAATTTGATCAATTTCTCATTCTCTAGGTAGAATGCTGACTCCATCAAACTATCAAATGCAAGCATAAAAGCTGCGACTGGTACAACAGCTAACGCTTCCACAAAGCAAAACTTTGTGTCATATAATGTTGTTGAAGTATCCGCCATAAACACAGGCTTGGATGGAATAGACAATATTGTTGTATTACAGTCGATACTTGTAGATATTCTGAGTATCCGAGGTCAATCATGATATTCGATGGATTTAAAGTTTGGTGCAGTTTGTTGAAATTCTTAAAAGAGGACTTTTGTCAATAAAGAGAATGTAAAGTAATAGAAAGATCATACCGAATTTCATTGTATGAAGTGTATAGAGCTAAATAACTAAAGGCGGCGAGCTATTACATGTCCGATTAGCATACTAATGAGGACATGGTTCCAATAATTCCAGATTCCTAGATGTAGAAGATATTAAGATTCCTTTTCGGCCTGGTTACTGACATAGAGTAGGAAATCCTCTCCTCTCACCACTGTCTCACATACAGAGGGTAAATTTAGTAAATCCAAAGTGATTGGATTTGGTGAGGATGCTTGATAGAACGGAAATATCGGATGCCTTTTTCTTCACGGTTTTATATACTGCAACTTAATCGGTGACCGATTTCATATTACCATTGAATTGGATACTCGAACAGTACACCACACAGACTAGATCATGTTGAGCCAGACACAATTTACGACCAAAATAGAGAACCAAGGTAAGCGATAGACTATTTTATTCCACATAATTACAAGGAGTTTGACTCAGTGAGTCCGAAGCAGAAATCAATGAGAGGAAATGCAACCACGTACTTAGTATTCAGTAGGTTGTCTGCATGTCCACAATTTTCTCATGAAAACAACTCTAAGCAGTGGGTTTATGAGCCTCGAAAAACATTCTTTGCAGGAGAACCTACAGACTCCTTTATATGAGACTTTACAAACCTTAGTGGTTGGAACAATGAACCAAGGATGTAATTCTCCGACTTTATATGCCATTATTTCATTCTGAACTTCAATCAAATATTTTATTTCAAGACCAACAGATACAAAATTTTTTAAATATATCATCACATTTTGACTTCAAGTACTGAATCGTAATAATATATATGCTATTTTTACATCTCTGGTCACCTGAAATCATCTAACAAAGTCTTGATCTGTTACGAATTCAACAAGCCCAAACATACCTTTAAGAAGAATATATCGCAGCTGTACAAAATAGACGTACAAAATAAAACTACTTGGTAGTATACAATTTAGTACCGAATCGGAAAAACTGCAGTGTTTTCTGAAATTAGACTCCATAGTAAATTGAATAAAAACTATTGCTGTAATTCACTTACCAATAATTAGTTGATGGACTTTGAACCAATGTTTATACTTAATTTGAGTTCGAAGGTGAAACATAGTGGTTGAAAATCAGGTAATCTAACCAACAAACTATATTTATTAACTTAAACATGTTTTAAGTATTAAAGTTATACGTATTATTATTATTACTTAGTCAGTATTATCTAATTAATTATCTATGCTCTTACAAATTAATTAAAATATGTGAAAATTAAAAATTAAGAAAAAATATTTGAAATTCATTATAATGTTGTTTAGAGTTTTAGTTTACATAATAATAATAATAATAATAATAATAATAATAATAATAATAATAATAATAATAATAATAATAAGTTGAAAACAAAGAATAATTTTATCAGAAAATACAAATGATATTTCTATTTAGTACCAAAATTATTCAAGTATTTAATAATTAGTTTAAGTTCATTTGTGAATATAATCACATTCCACAAAGTATTTACATCTAAAGTTGAATAAAACCTTATCATATTACACATTTATTAGATATCAGATATTTACCATAGGTTTGAAAAAAAAACCACTCTTCAAAAGTTATTTTTTAAGTTCTTTGTACTCAAGTTGTTGTTTGTTTAATTAAGATGAAAAATTTACAACTCGAAAAAAAACAACATAATTATTTTTGAAAATGAGCTTACAAAATGATTGCCTGTAAGTAGTGTATTACCAAAATGATAAGATTAAAATTTGTTTCATAAAAATCAAATCCAACAATTACTGTTGTCGAATTCCAATCACTATTAAGATAATTAGTGCAAACTCCACCGGCTCAAATCTGGGAAAGCTGAATAACATTAACGTCTACACTACGAATGTTATGCACGTAAATTTAGTTCAGTTATTTGAAAGTACCGTTTTATGAGTTCTGATATCGTCTGGCTTAATACAATGCAAGTTAGTTAAACTGTAAATGAAATTGTAATTCATCTACCATATTATAGGTTTATGTACCTGAAATAAAGCCACACCATTTATTTGAGGGTTAACGTCTAAATCAAATTAGGCAGAGAAGAGTTGAAACCTGGAAGAAAATCAAATCATCAGGTTACTCAGCCATACAAAATTTGAGTTACAATATTAATAAACAAGAATCCAAACATACAGTCCACAAGTTTTAGTGAATTTGGTACCATCTCAAGTTTAACTAATCAAATATCAAAGGAATACAACAAGTCTGTTCGATGGATTTGATCGCCCCCCCCCTCACATTTAATGAAATAGATATTATGAAGCTATAAAAATGAATTAATGACATTTAAGTCACAAATAATTATGAGGATACAACTAAAGACAACCATTTTAGAAAAGAGATATTATTATCATGACAATATTTATGATTTAAAATCAACTATATAATGAACATTTATTTGACATTTATTTATAATTTATAAGAATTTATAACATCGATTTAAGCAAAACATATAGGGTAAATTATTTAAAGTTCATAGGCGTATTCTGAGTTCCAATCTCGACGGAAAATGTTTTCCAGTTGTTTTCTTATAGATAATGGTTTTGGTAAACAAAATTCACTTTTATTCATATTTTCGTCATTCATATCATTTGAAGTATGATTATATTCTTCATAGACGAAGGCGACCCCACCAGTATAAAGAAAGTAATCACCAGACCAATTAGAAGTACCTAAATAAGAAAATATTATTAAAAAAGGTAATCTGCTTAGTCCTAATTAAAACAGGTGGTTGTGCGTAATTTTGTGGGCAAAATAAGTATGATTACGAACTGTTATTGAACTTAATCAAAATCTGCTATTCATAAAAAGTACTAATTTAGAATTGAATTTATTATATCTTGTAACTATAAGAAAAAACTTTCATCTTGCTTCACATATAACTATTTAAACATTCAAGTTACACCTACTATTTGACGATTATTTATGATAGCTATAAACTGAACTCATGATAGGAGTATCAAGTTCTGAACGGATAAGTGAGAAGTCATTTCCCAAAATCAATAAGCTTTCTCCTCATTGAAAATTGAAGTTACATAGAGTAAAACAATACAAATTCTATCAATAATTTCATTATAGACATATTTGACGGACTGAAGCATTCGATCATTGGCTTGTCTTCGTTCAAAGGTAGCATCGCGTGTATATAAATGACTACGTATGTTTAAGCAGAACAGGGATTAGTCACCAATCAACGACGTCATTTTATGACATCGACTTCAATGGGTTACGTGACTTTCACATATCGCATTCTATCAGCTTCTTTGTCAATAACTATATTAAAACGACGAGACTAACAGATAGAAATGGAGAGATACGATATAAGGAATGATTATATCAGGTTACTAGTTTCTTCAGAACAATCGAGACAGTCTAATTGGTTTACTTACTGAATAAATGCATCCATAAGCCAAACATATCTGCATTATAAAAAAAGTAAGCTTTCTCAGAAAAACAAACCATTATCAAATGTTTCTGTGAACAGAACCATTGTTACGGTGGCCTGAATTAAATTTGTTGGAATAGTTGATAATAATAACAATAATAATAATAATAATAATAATAATAATAATAATAATAATAATAATTATATGTATATATATATATATATATATATAATGACTAAATCAAATATGCACAGATGGATAATTATATTTCTAAGGTCATGTCCATCAGTAACATCATATAGAACGAAAATTTGCTGTTGATAACTTTAGACATTTTTAAACAAAATTTTATTGATGTGATCTGTAAGTAGTTATTATTTTTCTACTCGGCAAAATACTTACCTATATAGGCTGTTTTATCAGTCACCATATATTTATTATGGTTCACACGAGCATATGGTATCCTTTTTTGTGATTCAGTATATGAGGGTACAATAAAGTAACGCTATTAAAAAAAATGTAAAAAATAGCAACAAGTAAGAAAATATATCCTAAGAATAACTTAGTAAATATCTGGATGTCAGTTTTTAGTATGGATCAGAATCAAATATAGTATTTCTGAAAATTATTAATCACCATACTGCCATTCCACTCTCGTTTGGGAATCCCAATCATTGAGAACGCACATTCCTACTACAGATTGGGCCTACGAAACTTCTAGTCGTTTGAAGAGCACTAAACAATGAAAATGTAGGTTTATTAAAAAACTTTCATTTCATTTAGGTGTTATTCAGAAATGCAACTAATCAACAAATAACAAGTTCCAATGTTAAGTGACTTCGTTAGGAACGACGAGCCAACAGTTTTATAGTTGTAGTCAATTCGTAATAATGAGGATTCAACATCTGGCAGCATTAGAGTACTTAGACTAATTGTGGGAAGAGGTTCCTCTCTAGGTACGTAGCTGAAACAAATTCCATTTGGATTCATATTTTCTTCATTCAAGTCATTTGAAGCATGATTATATTCTCCATAGACGAAAGCGACCCCACCATTATAAAGTAAGTAATCACCAGACCGATTAGAAGTACCTAAATAAGATAGGTATGATTAAGCATACTAATGACTCAGTTTCAACTAGTTTCAAGGTAGTATCTAAAGATATGGTGACGTCTTAAGACAAGTCTGCATATTTCAGGCCTCAACAAAATACCAGACATATTTAGTAAACGAACCAGCCTTTATACTAATATTCAACCTTTATAAATACTCCCATTTTTGTTTGAATACCGATTGAATGGAGTAGGTGACTGTGTGATCGTCCTAATACAACAGTACTACGAAAGCTCTGAATCTCATTCCTTTATGAGGTATTCTATTACTTGGGGCTGCAAAAGTGAGTACTAAATCTCAATAAATAAATATATGATTTCCTAGTTTATTCATCGAAGATGTTTAAACCTATTGGTCTATAACCCCTTGTGGTGTGTAGCATGATTTGTCAAGTCCAAAAGACTTATCCAAGTATTCGGATAGACTAATTAATCCATTCCCCTCGTTTTACTACTTGTGATCTTTTCACTTTGCCAATAATCCGCTTATAACCTCTATTATTTTTATTTGTGTGTGCATCGCTTACTTCGCTTATCACATATCTAGTTTATTTTTGTTTAACTACAAATACTTGGCTCACTCGCTTTCTCTGCTTCACGTTCATACTTCCCTTTACTGTCTGTCTGCTTAAATGAATGTATGGAATAAATTCATCTACGAAACCGTATTGGGCTTTTAGTAACCGCTGTCACACAAATGAGGTTCGCCTCTGAATAATATGTGAAAATTAAAGGAGAGATTTATTCCACAGCTCAGCGTCTTTCAGCTTCAGCAAAGTAACTGTTCACCTTTTTCAAAACTATTCAGCCTTATTCCAGTGTATCATATTCTGTGATCAGTTCATTTTAATCTAATCAAAATAGATATGTAACCAATTAATTTTTATCACAGTTGAAGTGTTAGGATATTCATCCAATATCCTAAGAGTTATTGGTCAAATCCTATTGGTCGATTTCTATTGGTCAAAATTATGGTCGTTATAACTGTCAAAGTCAGATACTTCAATGTTGTTTCTTATTGGTTGTCCTGACTATCAATGTCACTTCAAATGTTACTTCCTATTGGTCGTCTTAACTGTCAATGCCACAGAATTCGGTGCTGTTTCCTATCGACCAAAATGTATAAATACGCATTATTTGTAACGTTTATTGACCACGACCAGGGCTCGGTCCCGGATCCCTAGTCCGGGGTCTTGATTCTCTTCTGGATTCGGACCTCCTGCTTTCTGGATGCTTGTAGAATACACGTTCTACTTCACATCATGTCTTCTTATTTTAACTAAATATGGGGGTTGTAATAATCGGATTTGAGTAACATGTCGTGTCACCGGATCCTCGCTCTCGTTTCCGACTAGGTAAACTCGTAATAGTTCAAGTATATCAAGTTGACGTGTTTACGTGCAGGCGTAACATGAAGACATAATATCACTGATAATTATAGGGTAAAAAGCAAATGACAATGAATTTTCTTTGACTTACAACCCGGATTTGGGCGGATTGAATCCCATTCAATGCTCTTAAAGAATTCAAATAGTGCTCAGTAGCCAACGAAGTATGCTTCCATTTACTGATTAATAAGCGTACTTCAACAGAACGGTCAATTGCAGCTCTACGCAAAGCATCATCGATAACCGGCCAAAATCTAGGCGACAAATAAAAGTGAACATATAAACACACAAAACCGGAAACCACAGTACTGCTGAAACCTGAAAAAATATTAACAGAACTGCTTTCTAACTAAATACTTCATCATTCATGAACAGTTCAATTGTGCACTGAGAAATGTTATTAAATCTGTGTATTAATTATTTGTTAATTTGTGATTATTGAGTTCTAACGATCATTTTATAATGTAGCTACTGAACTAAGAGACTCAAAATCCATTGCACCGTATTTTTGTATTATCGGTTAGAGGCTATAGGTTTACGCTAGTTAATACTCGTTAAAAAGGTATACATGGAACCTTGGGGGAACTAATTGTCCTTGTCGGATTTTAGCACGAGTCAATTTACCTACAATGGTGATCACACTGCAACCTGATTGACGAGGTTTCGTAACCCAATTGGAACGTCAGTTATCTCAAGATTGTAGATACGCCTTGTTAACCAATGAGATCTAGCACAATATCTAGTCCCAGAGTTTTCTGCCTCTAATCACCAATTGAATCAAACTAAAATGACACCGTTTTAGACAGCTGATATAAACTGTATACAAAACTATTTATTTTTTATTGAGGAAATTTGTGTGAATTATTGTTAAAGTACTTCTTATTTTTGCTGTTAAGTACTAGATTATGTTTGAGTGTCATATTATTGAATTTGGGTTTTATGGAGTAACGAAATTTGTTGGGACTCAATAAAGTATTGAGCGACAAATAAAACTCACACCTAGAGTGCTAAATAGACAACAAAGTAATCCACAAAAATTCGTATAATTCCTTGAAATAAAAAGAAACATATTTCACTGATTACGAATTAGCATTTATATAGAGCTGCATACATTCTGAAGAGAAAAACTCCTGGTTATCTCAAACGAGCACTATTCGCAGCAACTTAGCGATTAGCGTTCTCCAGCCGATCAATATTCATTAACAGTCGATATATAAATTTTATCAAAAGAATTCAAGGAATATTACTCTACCCTGCTAAAGAAAGGTGGAAATGCCTCAAAGGGAAGTAATATAATTGAACACTGTTTGGACACAGTTCATTCGATCAAAAGAGACTAAGCATTCACAGTCATCTATAAGGTAGATAGAAAACTGCCAAAAGCAGTGAGCATTATCATAGCACTTGTTATACATTTGGAAAATCAGAATGATGTGTAGAAATAGCCTGTGTAACATATATCATCGTCTAAATCTATAGTGATCTTCATCTTTTACAGCCATCTGCTTCGTTTTTATTTCCTGATCACAGTCGAATGCAATTTTGACATTTTATCTCTGTTATAATGCTGCTATGCAGCTATTCAAAATCCTACCAATTGACCAAATTCAGATATTCCAGTACGACCCCAAATACTGTTCCCATATCTCCAATATATCAGAACACAACACCGTTGGAAGAAGTTATTTATGGGATCGAGTAAAGAAGGAATGCAAGAAGGAAGGAAGGATAATGCATATTTACACAGTTAGGTCGAATAGGAAACAACATTGAAGTCTGTGACATTGATAGTTAGGCCGACCATAATATTGACCTGTAGGAGTCGATCAACAGAATTAGACTTCCAAAAATACTCTTAGGAGATTTGACGAATATACTAACAACCTCATTATGTTAATACTACCAAACCATTTATAATTCAATGTATGTTTTCATAATGGATATCTAAGATCTCAGGAAAACCAATCTTATGAAAGTTACCTTAGTGAGAATAGTGTTTTTACTCCTTTATTTATATTGCCTTAATGTTAACATGTTTAGAAGAACTTTCAAAATAAGTATTACTGCCAGCATTATAATTTTAAAAAATATAAAAATATATTTGCGATTATAAAACACTGGGAAAAAAAAATCACATGTACTTATTTCAGGATTTTTACCTCTGATACAGTCAGTATTCAGATGGAGCTGTTAAATAACCACATCTCTGGAAAGGCATGGAATACAGTGGACTCTGCAGTCTGATTATGAGAAGCATTTGACGGTGTGAACAAGGCAACATTATGGAGCCCTCTTCGACACTATGGTACATATGAGAAGATAGTCAACATCATACCAAATTCATATGACAGATTATAATCTGAAATCGTGCATGGAGGACAGCTAACACACTTGTTCCAAGTGAAGACAGAGGTCAGACAATTTTGCTTACTCTCATCGTTTCTCGTTATCCTGATCATCGACTGGATTATGAAGACGTCAACATCTGGGGAAAGCATGGAATACAGTGAACAGCACGGATGCAGCTGGCCTCTTTAGACTTCGCAGATGACCCAGCTCTTCTATCTCACACAACAACAAATGCAAGGTAAGACGACCAGTGTAGTAGTAGCATCAGCAACACTAGGCCTCAAAATACACAAGGGAACTGCAAGACCCTTAGACACAACACAACATTCACCAATCAAATCACATTTGATGGAGAAGCTCTGGAAGATGTGGGAACTTCTACACATCTGGACAGCATCATTGATGAGCAAGTTCGATCTGATGTAGATATAAATGCAAGGATCGTAAAGCAATGCCAGTATTTCTACGGTTGAAAAACATCTGAAACTCGAAACAACTGTCAACCAACATCGAAATCAGAATTTTCAATCCAAACGTCACGACCGTTCTATTGTATGAAGGTGAAACTTGGAGAACTACAAAAGCCACCATCTAAAAGATACAGAAGCCTATTAACAGTCTTCTATGCCACCATCCGCAACAACCTACTGTGACAGGGAACAGATCAGTTTTCAGCTAAGGAAGAATTTGGGGAAGAGCACATGAGGTAGATAAGACACACATTACGGAGTAGCGAGGCAAGCCTCGATTTGGAATTTTAAGACCAAAGGAAAAGAGGCCCAACATAACCTTATTGCATTCGGAATTGAAAGCAGACCACAGAAGAATGGATTGAAATTGAGAAGAACGTTGAATTAGTGGGTAGGATAGAGTTAGTTGGTGAATTTTGGTCGGCCGCCTATGTTCTACGAGGGTAACAGGCGTAAGTTTATCAATTTGTCTAGCTATTCAGTCACAATGTTTTGGGTCATGCACTAAATGAACTTACTGTGAACGTATATGGATATCATAACTTGTCACTTCAGGCAGGAAATTCATAACCGATATATAAATAAATTTTTCTGCAGTATTTATAACGGAAAGTAGAGCATCTATGTCATCATTTCGTCCAGGCGGGTTGAACAAGGAAGGAGAACTCTGATTTTTTGATATGCAAAGGGAATTTACAGAAGATTAATTAAATTCTACAGAAATTATTACAGTAACTGTAGATATTATACAAGTTCACATTGATATTCGCTCTTAATGTATTTATTTCGAATTTAGAAATTATTGTGAGAATATAAACAATTTTGATACAATAGTTGTCATTTATGCTTACACCTATTTTGAATCAGTTTACAAAAACGTTAATCGACAGTGTTGCTGATGAAGGAACAGGAAAGCATATACTATTTAATTTCAACAAAGCCTATCTAGTCTTTTCATCATTTGAACATATTCTAAATCTTTAGATTAAGCTAGATCGTTTTAGTACACGATTAAATATTCTGAGAACGATGGTATACCAGAAAAGCAAGCTACCTGTTGATATTTGTTAAGAGCTTGTTTTGGAGTTTACTTATGACTTTACAGATGGGAATTCTAACATAAACTCATCTATTTATTATTGGTAAAACAATGTGTTCGGTTTTTGCTTCGGTTTGCTACTTTTGCAAAAATGACTCACTGTTCATGAATAGTGAGCATTGTGTGTTCTCGTGTTGAATAATAATGAACCTTGATTCAAATTTGAGGAGAATTTAAAACCATATCATTTTAATATAAAGTAAAACAGTCTGCATAAATAAACACAGTTTATCTAATAAAAGCATATTTCATTTAAAAAATCTGAAATTAATATAAAAAAAAATATACTTATATTAACACGTTTGCGTGTTTATTTGTTGGACAATTACACTTGACGTTTCAATAGAGACCAGCTTAAGGTAATGATAAATTTGTATCTCAACTCGACAGTTTCACGCCAGTTTAGTTATACATAACTTCAATTCGATGCTATCTGTAATATCTTTTGGAAAGCGTTAATAGAAAAAGTGGTTAGGACTCAGTTTTATTTACACAGAATATGAATATTATTGAACAAACTAAGTCAACTAACGATGCCTATAAGAGATTTCACTTATAAGTTATTTTATTTACTGGTAAAACAAGTCCTTCAAAAGACATTAAATTACAAGTCTACTTCCTCAACATCCCAAGTTTCTTAGAATATTTATTGTGCTTATATTCTGCAATCAAAGAATTATTAATCTACCTTGCTGTCTGAGTATTGTTAAAATTGCTACATAAACAAAGTGACCATTCACAAACATTGATTAATACAATTTTCAACTTATTGGGAAACTTGGTACAATTCCTTTTTACTCCCTTTGCTAAAGTTTTCTTTATTTATCATCAACAGTTATTTCATATATTTGAAGACATCAGCTTCAGTACCTAAATATGAAACAATATCTTCAACCAAACAAACCGACAACTAACTGCTGTGATGTGGAAAAAAACTCATCAAGACATTCATTCACTTGACTGCCCACTTACTGAAAAATATACACGCGACTGAATACCATTTATGTTCGTAATAAGTGGATTACTTCTGTTGTAGTTTGTCTGAAACTCTTCTGGCCATGTTTTAGGAATGGAACCATTCGGATTGCCTATATTCCAATAAACTTTCCATATTTTTTCCAAGTCGTTCATTATATTTGGACAGTTGTATATAAAAACACCTAGCTCTTTGACCTTCACAAAAGAAAAAACAAAATCGACAATGCATATGGTGAGCCAATCAGAAGTGACCAAAAGAGAAGGCCACTTGGTGGCCAGAAAAAATGTCCTAAAGGACGATGACATAACATTAGTCAAGAAATGGTTTCTTTCTGAGGCACTATATATATATATATATATATATATATATATATATATATATATATATATATATATATATATATATATTATTTGTAGACGTTACCCGGTAACCAAATCGACCTTATCTCCTAGTCTTACCGTCTTGCTCAAATAGTCGGTTTGGTGGGTTAGCGCGTATCACGTTCAAGCCAGGAACTGCGCATATTGTAACGATAGTAAGCAGAAGATTTATTAAAAAGCCGGTTAGTACAAACCAATCGTTTTGTTCGGCAATAGAAACATGGTAATAACAAATGTATAAATAGAATATATTACAATTCGTTAATTTAGTTGCTTGAGACTTCATGATTCTATAAGTGGATTGTATGACCTAATGTTTGAAGATTCAGAACGATTTGAGGTTTCGTTCAACCTCGAGCTTAGGACTGAAAAAACCTGATTATTAACATCGCACTGTAATAAGCTTGTTGAGAATCATATCATCTGACTATTTTCATTCTCTGTCCCTGATAACATCATGATTTATACAACGGAGAGTGAAATTATTATTATTATTATTATTTGACTGAACTTTAGTTGTTAGTGTTTTATCATTTACTTGGTTATGTAGTTTGATTAAATCCTCCAGTTACTTGCGTGTTGATACAAATTCACAATGCGTAGTAACGAGTGATGTTTAAGCTTTCAAAACTTGTCAGTAAATGTTACTCCGAAGTGTTTTTATTTCATACTATGTGGATAGGACCACCTTACTAAAATAGGTATGCGGTTCTCGTAACAAGTTTAGTTTTGTAGTCCGACCACTAAAGTTTTTGTCATTAGATTGCACGTAAAATTCCTGTTTTGACTTGGAGTACTCATGTAATATCATCAGCTGCGAAAACACAAGATGTGGTTCCAAGCCAGGAATATAAATGTGGATGCGCACTGCTGATGAGTCCCATACCAGGACGAAACGGCCGTCCAGTGCTTCCAGGTTTCTGATGGTGGTCTAATAATCATTGATTGATGATTTCAAATGTGTAAAAACACAAACCTCTAAAACTGCCCCAAATGTATATTTAGTTGCTAAGCTACATTATTCTGAATTAATCATAAACTTAATAAATTACTAAAATTTACCCGATCTGTTTATTTAAATTCAATAATGTACTGAATTACTTTAGCGGGCAACAAAATTCTTATTCTGAACTGCTAGGTTAGCTCATTTAAGGATAAAATTAAAAATCTTTACATTATGATGAATACTACTCAACCACATGGTAACTTAACCTAATGGTCTTCCTTTATGTAATCATAAATTGTCATTTAATGCACTTGTAAAATAATAGTATTTAGGCCACAGATTTCTGTTCGTGAACCTAAAAGTATTGATTGTTAGCACTATTCACTTGACATCTAATATGACATAAAGGTATTTGGGTGGTTAAATTGTGTTCACTACATTCTGATATGTCACAGTGAACCTTCATTTTGTAACATGATTAACTGAATTCATGTTATTTTGTAACATATATACATCTTTGCAAATAAACTAAATTCAGGGTAGTAATCAAACAAATCAAACTTTTCAACAAATCAATGTACATTTTGATTTATAACCATTTCATTATCGTTACTATTGTGGTGCGAGCTACTTATAAGTAGTATATGACGTGAGTGTCAACGTAATGTCTGGTAGCAGAAGATCAAGAAAGGAAGAGTTAGAACACAATGGAATTTGTATGAAACGCATCAATAGTGACAATCGATTGATGTTTTGCAACAGGAACAGTCCAGTTCGATATGGTGGACTGATATTTTGCAAATTAACAATTTACGATATGGTTTTCCTATTTTACTGAGTAACTCTGCAATTTTCGTTAAATACAACCCGGTTGCCCCACCTGTGTCCTCGTTCACTACATTATTGTTACAACCATAAAAATGAAAATAACTATATTTATATGCACTTAGCCTTGTTTAGGAATATCGATTCATCTGTAGTATAAATGAAGTTGACTTGGTTAACAACTTATAATTTTAAATGAGTATTATCAGAATCATGAGTCACTGATAAAGAAAATAGTGACTATTCTATACCTTAAAACTGATATTAGTTCATATACTAAGATGGAATACATTCCTCATCAAAAAATGCAAAAGTAATCAAGGCTAAACACAAATATCAAAGGTCTGTGATGACCGAAATGAACTTTTGTTTCATTTTCACGCATAGATGATTCACAGCTGTGTTAGTATGGTACATTTTCTGATTAGCGTTTTTTTATCAACGTTGTTTTCTACGGGATGGGTTGCTAACTCTATGCTCAACCCTCCTCTTTTATCCAGGCTTTAGGTCGACAGAGGGACATCAAAAAATTTAAGAGCACTTGAGAACAAGTGGAAAGTGGACCTATGATAGAGTTGGTTGGAGAATCATGGTCGGCGGCATATGTTGTACGAAGGGTAAACAGGTGTAAGTAATTTAAAACACTTTTCAAATAAACTGGCCATTGGGTTAAGTACTGATAATCAAAAATAATATATTTGTATTATTCGAATGAGTGGAAAATTACAACTTTTGTATTCATTGGGATACTACATATATACTGCTCTTATTACTAATTAGTTCCTGTGATAGATTTGAGTAATAAGGGGAGAAGGTTAATATTGTACAATTTGTGCAGAAGCTGTAATAAGTTCATAGTGGTTGGTAGATTTATTTTCTAGTACTATTTTAACATAGTCAACACGAAATCCTACTAGTTCATTTAAAGTTGCGAATTCATTTCACATCAGAAATATATCACAACTTTCTATTCATACATTATTGAAATTTGACATTATTAATACATCGATAAAGATGTGTGGTAACTACAGAGTTATATGTGCATATGAAAATTAATGAAGGTCATTTACATAAAAGTCTCAATAAACATAGGGTGATAATTGTACTGACCAACGAAGAAGACGGTAATGACCAATTGCTCTTTTTAGACATGTCATTGAGTCGAAGGGAAGCCAACCTGGATTGGACAATATTTAAATCTCTTCAATTACTGATCCCTATACCTATGTTTCTCAATCAGTCAGTCAGCTACTACGTAGAACTTCATACGTAGGTACATCAGTTCAGTTTGCCATACCAAATTAGTACAGATCAACTTGTCAGTTCAAATACCATAGTAGTAGAGGTAGTAGAAGTACTAGCGCTAATGGAGATTAGCAATCAAAGATATTATTCAAGAATTATAATCCAGTGAAATAAATTTTTTTTCTTTCAAAATTATTCTGTATGATACTCCTCTATATAGTGATTATGTAAACCCTCCTGTTAGAAACACTATTAAGATGGAGCTTCAAAATTGGCTGACCTTTAACATCGTTTTTATAAACTTCAATAGAATCTGTTTAATGTAAATGACTCAGTCAGCTCACTTACAGTAGCACAAATGAAAAAGAACAATATACTAACCTGTGTTAATGATCTCCAGTCCATATTTGCGCTACCCAAATAACCATTTTTGGCATCAGCTGACCATAACTTTGTATGCAAAACTCCTTTTCCAACGAGTCGATGAAAATCAAGCCATTTGATCTGAGCACCTAGAAGTAATATAATTAATATGAAGAAAAATAGGAATTCACATTTCTCTAAAACGTTAGTGAAAATAAAGTTGGAAAATAATAAAAAAAAAATTTTTTTCAGAAGAAAAATCAAGAACTTTTGGTTAACCTTTCAGCGTTACTTAACAGATGATGATAATTGATATTATCATTTTTGGTAGATTTCGACAAAGTTGAGAAGCTTACTAAAAATGCTTATCGTACTTTGTCAACTTCAACACAATCATTTAAACTATTCACAAATATCTAATACACTGTAACCTACCAATCGTTAGAGATGTAATTTTACTGATTTCATATGAAGCTGTTGGGGTAATAATAAGCTTATATACAACTGTATGACAAAGCATACTTCGTGGAAGAACAACAATAATAAACCTGAAAAGCCTACAGTTATTAGACAGTCTAACATGAAGAGTGCAGAGACGAGTATTTATTCCATAAGAAGAATATCCTCTATTTTCTGTATGAGCTTGAGAATTAATTTCAACTCATTAGATGTAACTGACATAGTCTTATTTAAACGTCAAGTAGATTGCCATAATTAAAAACCTGTAAACCTGTCACTAACACCATTAGCAACAACGTACTGTGAGAGAGAACAAACCAGATTCCAGTGGAGGAGGGAATCAGGTAGAAGCGGTGGAAGTGGATAGGACACACACTACGAAAAGCACCCAACTGCGTCACAAGACAAGCCCTCACATGGAACCCTCAAGGCAAAAGGAAAAGAGGAAGGTCAAGGAATAGAGAAAGATATGAGAGGAATGAACAAACATTGGGCATAACTGGAGACGGAAGTCCAGGACAGAGTTGGTTGGAGAAAACTGGTGAGCGGCCTATGCTCCATTGGGGGTAACAGGCGTAAGTAAGTAAACCTGTCACTAAAAAGAAATATTGTATCAGTCCCGGAGAATGTTCAGCAATAAGTAACCACTAATATTATGTAATTAAGAAGTATATCACCTATCAAACTCGAATAGACTGAATCTAGAATTTGATCGAATTTAAGACTACTTAATAGTTCACATGAAAGAGGATACAACTTCCTATTGATTTTATGATGGCATTAATTTCTTAACAAATTTTAATTGACAATGAATATCATTTTCACATTAAAAGTAATTATTTTATATTGGTATTAGCAATTTGAGACAATGAAGTGCCCAACAAGTGTAAGCATTATTAACTCACCAGATTGTGTCAAGTTCAACAAATCTGTAGAATTTGTTTCGTTTCCATTTTGAGCTATTTTTAGGTCGATTTCTCTTCCTCGATCAATTAACAGCTTTAGTATATCTGATCCCTTGAAATCCAGTCAATCCAGAAAAGTTATATCCATGAGCGTTATCACATATAAGTGATCATAAGAATGAGAGATTTGAATGGATGCGTGGAAGATTATAGGAATTTAACAGTACAAATAAAAAGTTAACCAAGTGTCACTCGTTTAAAGCTTAGTTCGAGGGGATCAATAATTAGTATCTGTCAGAATATATCACGTGAACTGCCTTGTTTAATAACGAAAGAAATAACACTTAACGTCCTATTACATTTATTTTATTCATGTTGAAGAGAATAACAACTAACTTGAATAAAAATTATGTAATACACTGCTTTCAACCTAGGAGATTATTATTGCCAAAACATGTTAGCCATAGTCAATCAGTCAACAACAACATAGAACTTCGTACGTACCTACATCATCAGTTCAAGTTGCCATACCAAATTAGCACAGAGATTCAGTTGTCATGCATGTTAGCCATAAATGTAGGAGAAACGTCAAGAGGAATGATTTTTTTGTCGTTATCGAGATTGGGATAAAAAGGTTTTCAGTTAGAGCTTTGGAGATTTGTGTTTTTACACATTTGAAATCATCAATCAATCATTGTTAGAGCACCATTAGAAACCTGGTTCATTATAGCCTAAAGATTTATACCGTTGCATAAGTACGGAAAACACTATGAATAAGACTACTGCAGTTTATAAATGCCAAGTTAAAGCAATATATAGTTAATCTAAATACGCAAAAGAACTTCCGGGAAAACATTTTATGCACATCACCATTGCTTAAACAAGGTGAAGACTTAAGATAAAAAATTTAGGAATGTCCTTATCATACGTAAGTACTTCATTCTTAGTATGGTTATAAAATATTAGGAATAATCAGATCAAAATTTAAACATATTCCGTTAAATAATAATAATTTATAAAACAAAACCAAATATACTTCGAAAGTACATCCAATTTAAGACCAGACAAACTGACGCCTATTGAAGGTATTGGTTTTATTTTAGTCATCTCATTAACGAGTTTACGGTAATAATCTGCAAAGAATATGTAACCCATTCAATTTACTACCCTACCTTTCTTTGCTTTCTTATCCTACCAACCAAAATTGCTGCTTCAGACTTTCAATAAAATACTAACATAGAGACTAATTTCCGAAAACGGATACCAGTTTACGATACATGATATTCCGATCTCATCGTCCCATGATTCTGCTATCAACAATCAGCCTGGTATTATTTTCAGAAATATATTATTAGCTTAGCACTTAAATCCTTATGAAAATAAAACTTTACTGTTTTACGATCCGAAATAACCATTGGAAAGTTAAAGAGTTTCATATGAAGTGCGTATTCAGAATGAAAGAGCGTTCACTGTGATTGACAACGTTATCAGTAACTCAGTTAGCTTCTTATAATACATATACGAGTGTTACTCATGTTCGGTCGAGGGATCTTATACAAAATCTACAATATCTGAGCAGTGTAGTCATGTTTGTTTAATTTAATCAAGTTTTTTTCTTACGGTGTTTACTGTTATGAGAATTAACACCTATTTTCAGAATTCGTTTATTTTAACGATTATGTAGGATTACTAACAAAACATTACACTTAATATTCAGTCTTCCACTTCCAAAGCAGGCAGATATTATTAACTGTCTTTTCCCACACGTCTTCCGGTCCTCAAACTACACTGATCACGCTATACATTTTTTTCTCCTCCCACTCCTCTCTCTAGCACCAATTTCTTGCCAAAGCTACGCTATATACTTTGTGAGTAGTATCCATCACGCTATGAAACAGAGTTCCGGTGTTATTAATTGTGCATATATATAAACACTTTTGAAGACAGAATCGTTTAAAATGATCTTTAAATTAAAGTAATATTGCTACTCTTGTTAACACTCCAGTCAGTCAGTCAGTTACAACGTAGAACTTCGTACGTACGTACGTCAGTTGAGGTTGCCATACCACATTATCACAGAGACGTCACTGTCAGTTCATAAAATTGTTGAGCTTAGAATTATTCATTACCTGTTCAGTAGCAGTAAAATTGAATTTCTTATCTACGGTTAAACTCCAGTAAAATGATGCAATTGAAATATTTTTCTCGGCAGAATTAATTAAAAATTTCCATGCCAAATAGGTTGATAGGTGCTTAGGAAAAATTGTTGAATATGTCATATTTTCCGGAATACTTTCCACCAATAAAACATTACATTCATCGTCCCTTGTGAGCAATTCCAAATCTGATTTATCTTTCATTAAATACTGAGATATGTCGTAATCGGGATAGCTTGCACATGTTAAGCGAATTAAAGTCAAAATAATCGCTAGACAATTAAAAGTCATTTTGAATTATCTAAAATTAAGAATAATTAAAACAGATCTATATACTTTATACGAATATCCATCAATACTTGAACCAATAGTTTGTCAAAATTTCGCACCGAGTATATAGAATAGATTATTTGCGAATGAAATTTGAGATAATCCTAACATTCTTCAGGTTAATAATAATCACAATCAAATCAAGTTTACACTAAATGTTTATCCAATCATAATCCGATGTTGACTTGAGTAGGATAACGAGTTGATTGAGATGTGAAACAAATGAAAAATGTGTGCGTTGTGTTATTATTAGTTGATACTTGATGAGAGTCAGGTATTTGTTTATCAATTGTAAACATAGAAGTGCAATTGTAAATGTTTATTAAAATTCGAATGTGTAAGTAAATTGAGAATTATTACTTACATAGGTGTGATGTATAAAATATTAAAATTAATTAATTACCGTTCGATCAACGGCACATGTCCGTTAAAGAAGTTGGATAAAGATGAGGTCCAATTACTTGTGAATGTTGATTTGCTAAGGGGTAACTAGTTGAATACTACCTTTTCTATTTAGGCTGTTTCAATTAGCCCACACATACATTGCTTCCACTGCCAATCTTTGTGTACTACAAACCCTTTCTGAAATATTTTGGTTCCGAGAAATTAGGTCTTGTGTCCTGTTTCTAACGCATGTCACGCTATTGCCGATTTATTCTCCGATTTCTTGAGATCAGTCGAGGTTTTGAGAATGTTTCAGACACAGCTTGTGTTCTTTAAACCTCACATTCAACTGTCTAGATGTTTCGCCTACATAAACTGCGATGCAGTCCTGAAAAATGATCTTGTAGACAATGTTCTGTGGTTATCTCTTTGACAGCCTATCCTAAACTCTCACTAACACCAATCTTACGGTACAACTACCACGAAAATCCTCTCAATTTCGTCAAATGTTTTCTTACAGTATGGGGTGACAACAGTGTCATTTCATCCATATAGTAAGACAAAGCGAACTACGGTACAGTACACTCGTCCTTTAGTTACCAAATGGATATCTCACCTACGCCATAAGTGACGCGAGTTGGCAAAAAAAAGCCAGTCGAGCCTTCTGTATCCGTGTTGAGATTTCGTCAGTCACTAGACCACAGTAATCATGAGACTCTCGAGATAAGTGAAAAGGTCAACACGCCCCACTGCTTCACTCCCTATCACTCGTTCAGGTGCAGACGTAAGCCAATTTTGGAGCAACATTTTGAATTTTGAGGGGAAAAACCGCATCCTGAACATGCTTGCATTGTTGTTTAGGGTAGTCAGAAGACTGCATTTTTTTCAGCATATTCTAAATCAGCAAATGAGTCTCTTGGTAGAAGGTCCAATACTGAAAAGTCAGACGAAGATAATCTTATCTCTTAAAACAAGTCTATGAGAGAAGTGGACAACCCTGACGGACAACACTTCAAGTAATCAATCCCGATAACAGTTAGCCATAAGCTCTAACTCGACCAGTAGTGTTCAAGTAGACAGATAGCTTGTATAAGGTTGATGTACTTCGCTGGTACACCTTTTAATAACAGGTGTTGTTGCAGAACCTCACGGTAGACAGAGTCGAATGCCGCTTTAAGGTCAAGGAATACAACTTTTGTCGGAAATCGAAGATTGTGTCTATGTTCTAGGACATGTCGAAGTGTTAATATAAGATCTATACAGCCAAGTTCAGGTTTGAAATTAGCCTGGTTTTCTCTAATCTGCTCTCCACGAGCTCTAGTTAGGCGTCGAAGTATTATCGAGGCTAACAATTTATATCAGAGCGCCTAAATTGTTGAAGAATGTTAGAGAGGAGATATGACGAAGAAGAAACGGCAAGTTTCCCTATCTTTCCGAGTTCTTACTGTACCTTTCAGTCGGACAGCGCACAAGCGACTATCTACTGGGATCCAGTCTAGGAGAGCTAGTTCTGCCCTACGATTCAATGCTATACCTACACCAGTGAGACCCCAGGAAGCAGCATCAGGGATTCCAGAAACAATAAGAGTGAATCGAGTTGGTTCTTTATTTTGACAAAATGAAATCAGATTAATGATTTTACTAGAATCCTGTATACGCGTTTCCGAGACGTAGCATACATTAATTGAGCGAGATTCTAATGTCCTAGCTAAGGAAGCCTGTTGCCCTGTTTGACACAATGTCCGTACATTGAATGCTCCAACATGTAGTCTATAACGGGATTTCAGGAGACCAGGAATGACGTTTTGTGAACTCGCATCGTTTGCATTAGCTGTGCAGTGTGATAAAGGGCTGTGAGAAGAGTTAGTCGTGGAGGTAAGAGAGATGTTAGGGGGTGTAGGAAGGATTCGTTTGTGACCGATTCGGTCACGTGTGCTGTTACTGGTATGAGGGCGGTTGTCACTTCCCGAATGCCCACACCGTGGAAGGGTGTTTTTTGAGGAACCTGAAAAGGTAGAATAATATCAGTTTTAGTGACCTGGGAGCATGACCGCAGAGCCCAACGGACAACTGCTTGAGGCCGGTCACGCACAGCCTTTCGATGAAAAGGTTTTTGAGTATTAGCTCCGCTCTTAAAAGCCCTTAGTGGACACCCTTACCACCGGAGACGGGAATCGTGATGTGACATTTTTAAGGTCGACCTTTTCTAACCCTTCGTTCCTTGTGAGAAGGCAGCATCGCTGGGAATGCTGGTTGTCCGAGGGAAACACCTTAGTGCTATCACACCCCTGTATAGCCAGTAGTACGATTTCGCCCTCAGACCTTGAGTAGCTACTTCTACTCTAATCGTTCTCCAATCGACCCGTCTAGCATTGTAGAACCTTCAGGAACATATGTTCCGGCCAATATATAAAGCTATATTACAAAATCTAAAATTCGGTAAAGAATAACTTATATGTATAGAATCTTGAATTTCTGGGGAGAGCAAATGCTTGAAATGTTAATTATTTAGGTTATTTCGAAAGTAGGTACCTTGATTATAATCGACAAGTCAGTAAGTAGTTAATATTTTCTTGTTTCATATCACTAGTTCAATTAAAAGCAATAAAAAGTGGGGTTTTATTTATGGAAACGTATTCAGGTAAGCGGGATAACTTATTCTATCACAACCTGATACATATAATAGAGCGATATATATATAATACAGCGATTGTCTGGCTATTTTCTACATCAACTTCATCGACTACGAGAAAGCATTCGATAGCGTGGATAGGAAAACACTGTGGAGGCTTCTTCGACACTACGGTGTGCCTGAGAAAATAGTTAACATCATACGGAATTCTTATCATGGATTCAACTGCAAAATCGTGCACGGAGGTCAGCTGACAGACTCTTTTGAGGTGAAGACAGGTGTCAGGCAAGGTTGCTTACTCTCACCCTTCCTCTTTCTCCTGGTCATCGACTGGATTATGAAGACGTCGACATCTGAAGTGAAGCACGGTATTCAGTGGACAGTTGGGACGCAGCTGGACGATCTGGACTTCGCAGATGACCTGGCTCTTCTATCGCACACTCAACAACAAATGCAAGAGAAGACGACCAGTGTAGCAGCAGCCTCTGCAGCAGTAGGTCTCAACAAACATAAAGGAAAAAGCAAAATTCTCCGATGCAACACAACATGCACCAACCGAATCACGCTTGATGGAGATACCTTGGAGGACGTTAACACCTTCACATATCTAGGCAGCATCATCGACGAGAAAGGTGGATCCGATGCAGATGTGAGGGTGCGGATTGGCAAAGCAAGGGCTGCGTTTCTACGGTTGAAAAATATCTGGAACTCCAAACAACTTTCAACCAAAACCAAAATCAGCATTTTCAATACAAATGTCAAGACAGTTCTACTGTATGCAGCGGAAACCTGGAGAACTACGAAAGCCATCATCCAGAAGATACAAGTGTTTATTAACAGCTGTCTACGCAAAATACTTCGTATTCGTTGGCCAGACACCATCAGCAACAACGAACTGTGGGAGAGAACAAGTCAGATTCCAGTGGAGGAAGAAAATCGGGAAGAAGAGGTGGAAGTGGATAGGACACACACTACGAAAAGCACCCAACTGCGTCACTAGACAAGCCCTCACATGGGACCCTGTGGTGTTTGAATGAACTAGTAACTTCTTGTTGTTGTGAAATGCTTGATTTCGAATTCTAAATACAATACATTCGTTTGTGCAGATCTTTAATTCTTGATTCATATACTTCTAAGTATCACAGTGGCGTCGCGATGGAACTTGTAATGGAACAGCTAGATATTCATTCTACTTCTGAAGCTTTTGAAGATTATTTGGAAAGGTTTGAAATCTGGAGTATGACCAGGAAAGATGTCAAAGATGATAAAATTGTGGCTCATTTCCTAACATTCATCGGAAAAGAAGCGTACAGCTTATTAAAAACTTTGGCATATCCAGAAAAACCTATTTCACTTCCCTATGCAATGCTAAAGGAGTTATTATTGAATCATGTAAAGTGCCCTGGTTTTGAATGCCGTGAAAGAGCGAAATTTCATAAGATGATTCGTCAAAATGACCAAAATGTTAAGGAATTCATTCTTGAATTGCAGAAACAGGCTGTCAAATGTAATTTTGGTGATCAACTTCATGTGCAGCTGAGAGACCGATTAATTGCAGGAATTAACATACCTAGTTTGGAAAGAGAGCTGTTAAGAATGTCAAACTGTTCCTTTCAAGATGTTAGAACTGCGTGCATTAACTACGAGGCGTTGAATGAACTTGATATTCAGTCGATGAAGATTTCCAATACTTTGATTAGTTGTCATGATGAAAAGCAATCTCAGGGTCAATCAAAATTGTGTTCGTTTAACAGAGGTTCCTATTCTCGTGTAAAAATGAACGGTGTTTCAAAAAAGAATTACAAAGGAAATCAAAAAGGTGAGACCAAGTTTGGCAAATGTTTATCATGTGGAAAACTTCATTCTCGTTATTATTGTACATTTCGTAATGCTAAATGTTTTAGATGTGGTAAGATAGGACACATTCAAGCAGTATGCAAAGCTA